ATTTGTAAGCAGCTTTTGGATGCTGAATGAACACAAGTCTACAAGCACATTACATGCTTTAAACTCAGTTTGCTCTTGTAAAACAAACGTTTTGCAAAACTCTAAACACGGTTCTCTACATTACACACATCTTTCGATACTAACAGCTCTTTTGTGTCACTTCACTGCACTCTGAACAAGCAAAAGATACACGAGAGTAGTGTTTTACATCTTAGTTTGGCGTGTATGTGGCTTATTATTTTATGTTTGTGTGTACAGTTACTACGCAAAAATCAAATTTTTAGAAAAGATAAAATAGTTTTGAAAGAAGTGTTTGCTTTTGCAAGATGTGTGTGATGTTTTGCGATTTGTGTAGAGTTTTGAGAAATGGAGCCATAGTTTCAAAAACTGTCTAAGCATTTTTTAAAAACTGTAAAATGTCACTGATCAGATTTTAGCTGTTTTCAGTGGTTTGACTCTCAAACGCTGCTGCTCCAGAAAACCTGAGTTGAGGATCAATAACCCTGATATCAACAGAGTGCTTGTGTTGTTTTCAGATAATTGAGGCTGTTCTGTGTGTGTGTGTGTCTGTCTGTGTGTGTGTGTGTGTGTGTGTGACCACACATATAGCACATCAATACCATGGTAAAAATATAACTGGGTTTTAGGTATTTGTATGAAAAACATTCGTCTAAATACATTTAGTATAAATGCACAAATGCTATAGCTTAATCATTAAAAAATCTGTAATTATATTCCATTACTTTAATACATTTAATAATATAATGAAATTCTATATGAATTTCCCACATTTCTGACCCAATACCATGGTGCGGTTAGTGTTACTACAGTAAATCTATGGTAAATGATGGTGATTTGTAGATTGAAAAGTCTTCTGACTGTATCGTTGCACAGTGTTTCTGCTGTTTGTCAGCGGTGTTTCATCCGGCTTTAAACTAGTTTAAATCACAAGTCATTTGTGTTCTTCACTGAATTCAAGCTTCACACAGGATCTGATCGAGACTCATCAGCGAGTAATGTGTCTGCTCTAGTGAAGCTCGCAACCACTGCGCTGTCGTTTGAACTTTGACCCGAGCGGATAAACGCTCTGTGTGTCGCGCTTCAAATGAGTCGCGCTGTTTCGTTCCGCTTTTGGTGCATAAACATTATATTGAACATTTATCAAACTCTTCATATCTTTTTATCAAGGAAAATTATATTGCGATAATTATAGTTATCGATTCATCGCCCAGCCCCTACTGCACAATAGTAATATATCTCACAATAGTTAAACTTCTGACTCAGATTCCGTCACATTCTACTGTAAATTACATTTTTATGACAGGATTGTGTTTCCTGCATTGTGAGAATCACACGTATCTGTGTTTATTGCGTTCTGGACGATGTGTTTGTTTATTCTTTATTGGAATTGATGTAATTGAAAGCAGTGTCACTAGCTATGTTTCCATCACTGTGTTTTTATGAGCATTTTGAAGTATCGCATCAGAAACGAGTGATGGAAACGCCAAACTTAGAATAAAAATCCCTTAATTCGCAAAAAAGTTTTTCCGCTTGCTTGAGGTGGTTTTTGAATTGTGCGAAAAAGGGTTAATGTGAATAATGGGAGATGGAAACGCATTTGCAGAGTAAATTCCTCCATGCGCATCAAAAAAGTCATGTGAGTTTGCGCTGTGAGACGGGATAACTTGAGTAGCAGCGGACCGATCTCGTTCACAGCATCTGAAACGTTGTTCTGAAAAGCCTGAGTAAAGACTGTCGTCAAAGTATTTCTGTATAATTGTCTTAAACGACTGCGTTCCCAAACAGCAGCATCCGCCTCTGAAAGCAGTGACAGCATTTATTGTGTTTCGTCTGCTCGCTCTGAGGCGCAAGTCATTCATCATATATGAAAATTATTATATTCAGTGGCTTCTCCAAGTTTTCTTAGAGATATTTAGTGCAGTTTATCAGGAAGTGACGATTTTGTTCTCTTTGACTCGTTGGATGGAAACGGTGCGTATTCGCAAATGTTTTATGCGATATTTCAATTTTGTGCTTAAGTTAAATTCGAATCTTTGGATTTAAACCTGGCTATTGAAACGCTGGATGCATTGATGATAATCGTCCGCTCTAACTAACCCATGTCCTCTCTGTCTTGTCTTTTCTCCTGAACCGCTGCAAGAGCAAGTCCACACGCAACCCTCTGCTCAAGTGGACGGTGGGCGAGGGCGCGCTGAACGAGTTCTCCTTCTCGCCCGACGGGAAGTTCCTGGCCTGCGCGAGTCAGGACGGCTTCCTGCGCATCTTCAACTTCGACGCGGTGGAGCTGCATGGCACCATGAAGAGCTACTTCGGCGGCCTGCTGTGCGTCTGCTGGAGCCCCGACGGGAAGTACATCGTGTCCGGCGGCGAGGACGACCTGGTGACCGTCTGGTGCTTCGCAGACTGCCGCGTGATCGCCCGCGGACACGGACACAAGTCCTGGGTGAGTGTGGTGGCGTTTGACCACTATACCACCAGCGTGGAGGAGAGCGAGCCCATGGAGTTCAGCGGCAGCGACGAGGACTTCCAGGAGCAGATGCACTCGGGCCGCGAGCGAGCCAACAGCACGCAGTCTCGTCTGTCCAAGCGCAACTCCACGGACAGCCGGCCAGTGAGCGTGACCTACCGCTTCGGCTCGGTGGGGCAGGACACTCAGCTGTGCCTGTGGGATGCAGTTAAGGATGATTGCTGCGTAGTATGTGTTTCCTTCTGCCTGAACATCTTCAAGTGAGTGGCGGGGCAAACCGAAAGTCCAGCACTCTCAAATATTCCTGTTTGTACGTGTTCCTTCGCTGGCATTTTACACATTTCGTTTTTCTCCCTTAATAACAAATGTGTCCATTCTGATGCTCAATTTTACCGAACTAATGGCTGCTGATGACTTGAATTGAATTCTGCCAAAGTGCGCGCTTGTAAGTGTTCATTAAATGCGTAACATTAATTACGCGAGTACAGGTCTGCTCATGTCTCAAAATAATATATGAAAAACAAAATTATTTTACACAACAAAAACATTATAGCTTATATTTGTTTAGTACATTTTTAAATTAATGTAAAAACTAAAATGAATTGTAAAGCTGGAAGATATTTTTTAATTGTGTTCATCATGGTGGGCCGCATTTGGATTCGTGACGGGACGCGGGTTGAGAACCACTGCTTTAGAGAAAAGTATTATGTTTCCTATTTTTACCCAAAATAGGGTGTTGTGAGCATTACTGAGTACACATGTAATGTAATGAGTGTTTAATTCATACTGGAAGCCGGAGGGCGCCCTTGCGCAGATTTTAACTGATGAAACATGAAGACAATAAACATACGATTGCACAAAATATATGGTTTATCTGTGTTCAAGCAATCTTGGGTATTTTTTTAACGAAAGTATATTTATAATGCAATGCTAATCGACATAGCCTTTATCACTGTATATAATACTATAAAATAGTATGCTTTCTGCCTCATTCTGTGATATTAAAACCACGTCTGATCACAGAAAGTTATTTCAAACACTCGACTGATGCTATAAAGCTAATTTGGAGAAGAAGCATGTCAATAAATATATATCTTTGTTGGACAACAGGTTTGTAAACGGGCTCATACACATGCAAAACTGTATCGTTCTAGAATTGACCCTTACGACTGGTTTAGTGCTCCAGGGTCACATATGACTTGAAGCGGTGCATGTGGATCCACAGGACCAGGGTTAGGAACTTCAGTGGCATAAAACAGCCACTAATGTTAAGAACTAGTTTGACCAACTTGGGTTAGTGCCTTTCTCGGGCTCAAAGCCGCTTTACAGAAGCAGTAACACAATGGACAGTCACTTCAGATAGTTAAGTGGACAGTAGACATCCGGCCGGTCCAGAAACAAAAATGACTGCAGCTGCATATCATGAGACAGCAGAGACACATAGCATAGAATTGAGTAAACAACAGAGAAAATGGATAGTAAAAACACACATAACGAGCAATAAATGCATGACAGATACATGTAACAAAAATACTATGAGAAAGCATTACAACTGGTAGTACAGGAGAAGGAAAGTGTCTAAAGAAGCACAAGTATGACTGGTAGAATTGGCTAAACAAGTACGCAAATCAGTCTTACTTTTCTGATTCAAACTGGGCCAATCTACCTTTTTACAACTGACTTTAAAAGTTATGACCAGTCTTGAAGAAAACTAGACTAGTTAAAAGACTAGTCTAAGCAGTTAATGCAACCGGCCCCTGGTCAACATTAGGATCCAGACGTCCCTCTGAGATGGGAAGCGCTATAAACACAGACACTCTAGAGAGAAATGTTTGTTTTGAAGAGTATTTTTACGATTATAGCGGAGTCTTGTTGAGTTGAGGCTTTGGAGAAGAGCTTGTTTTCACGGTGAACGCTGTATGTGCTGTGAGCGCTAGTAAAGGAGCACGTATCGGTAGGTCTGTAACTAGTTGATCATGACCGTGATCTGTACGTTTGGTCAGATGTTTTTCCTCCACTATACGGCTTCGTTCAAATGTCTTCTCTTCTTTTTTCCAGGGGTTGCTGTCATCCCAAAACCAAGCCAGCTCTCCCAGTGGAACAGTAGTATAGCCACGATATTCCTGTTTTATTACAGTTTTGTTCCTGAAATCCATCCTTCTGCTGGGATCAGAATCAGATTTTGTTTTTGGATCAAAAGTATCCCAAACTTACTAAAATGTTTAGAACAACACAAACTGAGGTTTTAATCAAATCCAGATCAAAACCAAGATTGGATTTTGTGATCTAATCTGAATTCAGAATCCTTTTTTTTTTTTAACAACCTATTGTCAAGATTTAATCCAGTGCGATGGCCAGAATCCGATCGGATTACTTTTGAACAACTGGCCCCAGATGTTTATAATCACTATTGGAGCTAAGCTTTCTAAACTGCTGTTGTCTGCTGACTCGGTTCTGTGTGTGTGTGTTTGTTTTCTCTCTCCAGTCCAGAGGGATGAAATCTGGTTTGTTCTCACTGTTTGAACTTCTGCAGCAGCGAGCTGTCTGGCGTGCCCAGAACCTCGTGGATCTTGTTGATCTGGTCTAACTCGTTTCGGCCGGGGAATAAAGGGCTCAGACTAGAGGACACAGAAACCACTGATTAGAATCAAGAAATGACCACAGAACGTCTGAGAGCACGGCGGAAGCACCTGAGGATCTCGAAGTAGACGCATCCGGCGCTCCACATGTCCATCTTCTGCGAGTAGTGTCCGTCGGTCAGCAGGCACTCGGGCGCGCGGTACCAGCGTGTGGAGATGTACTCGGTGTGAGGAGGTCTGGAGAAGATGCTCCTGCAGGAGCCCAAGTCTGCCAGCTTCAGCACATCGTTCTGTGAGAGACAGCGAGAGCGTCTCATTCACTGATCGTGTGTGTGCACGCTTACTTTCATCAACAAATATGGCCCTGGAGCACAAAAGCAGTGTTAAGTCGCTGGGGTATATTTGTAGCAATAGCCAACAATACATTGTATGGGTCAAAATTATCCATTTTTCTTTTATGCCAAAAATCATTAGGATATTAAGTAAAGATCATGTTCCATGAAGATATTTTGTAGATTTCCTTTGATTAGTAATATGCATTGCTAAGAACTTTAATTTGAACAACTTTAAAGATGATTTTCTCAATATTTAGATTTTTTTGCACCCTCAGATTCCAGATTTTCAAATAGTTGTATCTCAGCCAAATATTGTCCTATCCTAACAAACCATACATCAATGGAAAGATTATTTATTCAACTTTCAGATGATGTATAAATCTCAATTTCACAAAATTGACCCTTATGAGTGGTTTTGTGCTCCAGGGTCACATGTGATGATTCAGCTGTTAAATCACATGGACAGTCTTACTTTGATCAGGATGTTCTCCGGCTTCACGTCTCTGTGGAATATACCATGGCTGCGGTTCAGAATGAACAGAGAAGTGTCAGTGCGGTTCACAGGAAGAGGCTGATGCGTGTGTGTGTGAGCGAGAGAGAGTGTGTGTGTGTGTGTGTGTGTGTGTGTGTGTGTTTACATTCATTCATTCTATAAAGTTCAGTATTCAGTCTTTATTTAATAAGTATATAAATTAATTAATTTATATAAATGTAGTATATAAATGCATTCAGTATAAAAATGCATTTATTTCATCAATATATAAATGTAGTTTATAAATGCATATAAGTGGGTTTTTTTCTACTCAATAAATGTCACAATCTCACAAAAATGTCATTTATTTATTTAGTATATGTGACCCTGGAGCACAAAACCAGTCATAAGGGTCAATTTTTCGAAATTGAGATTTATACATCAGCTGAAAGCTGAATAAAAAAGCTTTCCATTGATGTATGGTTTGTTGGGATAGGACAATATTT